GGCGCACGTATCGCCTTGACCGGAGGCCGGTGCAGCGGGCGAAGCCTCCCGTGCGCTACCCGAGTACCATTCTCGGGCCAGCGTACGAGGAGACGGACTTCATGATGCCCAACGCCGCAGCTCCGAGTCCCTACCGTCACTTGTTTAGGGACGAGACCCCGCTGGGCGAAGCGTTGGAGGCGATTCGCGAAGAGCAGGGGAGATCCGGAGAGGTTCCCGAAGATGTTGAACCGCCTCCTCCGGCGTTCCCCGACGAGCTTTTGGAGCCCCAAGATCCGGACGTGGACGCTCCCCGGGAAGATACCCCGAGGGAGCACGTCCAAGCGATGAGGGAAACCTTTTCAGACCTTATCTGGAACGCCCACGATGGGCTCAGAGAAGAAAAGCTCGCCGCGGGTGTCTTGAACCCTATCGCAAAGCAGACTGACACCCAACTGGAGATAGATCCCCCTATGCTGGAAACGGATCTGCTCCCTCGAGAGAAGGGGGGTGTCCAGAGGACTGGAACCCCGCCTGATCCACGATGGGGTGCGGAGCCTCAGGCTTCCAGCCCTAAGAAGAAAGCTCCGCCATCTTCGGCGACGCATTCCGAGGATCAGGAGATGGCTCCTGCTCCTCCGGATGCCTCTCAGGAGGCGTCTTCCTCCTCTGCAGCGCCTGCGGCCAACGTGACTCCCCCAGCTGAGGCAGGGAGTCCGGAGGTCCGGATCCCTAGCCTCGCGGAGTCTATGAAGGCAGGCTTGGCACGGGAAAGAGCGGCGGCACGCGCCAAGGAGGAGCTTGCTGCTTCGGCCCAGGAGGCCGCGGCTGCGGCTCCTGAGGCACGGCGCGACACCCGCCTTCCTGCAGTGACCAAGGAGGAAAAGGAGACAGCAGAGGCTAAGTCCCTCTCCTCCCTCAAGCGCGCCGTTGAGGAGAGCGGCTCTGAGCGTCAAGGCCCCGCGGCCAAGCGGGCCACCACCAAGAAGGAAGAAGCGCCCTCGGCACCAGCCGGCCCTGCAGGAGCCGCGGCCGGGACAGGCGCGGCTCCCTCGTCTAGTGGCGAGGCAGGTGCCGAAGAAGGTGCCAGCGGGGCCGCTGCTCCGTCGAGCACAGACAAGCGGCGACCCGCGGAGCCGGAGGGACCGCCGCCGCCCAAGAAGCGATTCACAACATGGCAGGATACCATGGAGTCGCCGGCTCCCCAACACCGAGTTTCGGGGGTTTACGGACTCTCGAACGAGGTTCCCGGGGCCGATTGGCGCGACGTGGACTGGGATGCGACTCCACCGCCGGGGCCTGGAAGGCCCGGCGCCCGCGACGTGGATCCCAGGCTCACGGTCCCCCTTGATCTCCAACATGATGAACAGATCAGGGAATTCTTCCGAGGCGGTGGTGAGCATACGCTCGAGCAGCTCCTCGCGTTGGCGCGGCGCCGGAGGCGCGCGTTCGTCTACCAGGCTGCGATTTTGTCGAACAGGCCAGTGTTTGAAATCTGGCCCGATTACGATGAAAACGAGCTTGGACCGACACCCGAGCGCGTTCCGCTCCTCACAGGCAAGGTCTGGCCTTGGGGCTGGTGGGATTGCTTTACTTGTGGGCGTGCGAACCCACCAGAACGCAATACCTGCCGGCACCATGATTCCGAGGAGCTCGGAGGTGCCCCCTGTGTGGGGATCTTCGAGGACAGCCTGTACTGGAGCACGCCGGTGGACCTGCGAACGGCGCCGGCGTGGTTCATCGAGGTCTGGCTCGATGAACATAAGGAACGCATAAAGGAGTACCTTTATGCGAAGCGTTCGGACGCGATCGCCGCCGCAATGTCCAACGCCTACTGGACCTGTGGGCGGGACACATGCCAAGAGAGGAACATGTTATGGCGCAAACTGTGCTTTAAGTGCAGTGGCCCTAAGTCGGGCGCGTCGTTCATAACCCACGGCATGCCGCCCCAGGAAGGCGACGATGAAGCTGCTTCTTCGTCGGAAGAGAGCGAGGGCACGAAGATGGAACGGATCGAGCGTTCCATCAACGCCGATCCCCTTGCGGAGCATGCGAGGAAATTCCTCCGCTCCGGACGGAAGAGGCTCCGCGCTGAAAAGCGCAGGCAGGCAGAGCTCTCTCAAGACTCTGCCCGAGCCTGGTGGAGCCAACCTTCCTCCGGGCGCGGTGCACCCAGTGGGGGCCGCAGCTCTGGCAGCAAGGGTGGTGGCAAAGGTGGTGGAAGGGGAAGCTCGAACCGCTACGGCAACCGAGGATGGTGGGCCGGAGGTGCTGCCGGACTGGCATACTCCTCCCGACTCGGCGAGCGTGCTGGGCAGCCCGCCCTCACGCTCCCACTGCGTGGCCCGGGTGGCCACAGAGTGGCGCCCGAGGCCCCTGCCGTTTCTTCTCGCCCCGCTGTCTCTTCCGGGCCCTCGAACCGTGGTGGGTTCCTTGGGGCCGTGCGCTCGATAGGCGCTGCGGTCTCCAGCTGGGCTCTCTCCAGGAGAGCGCGCAATCGCGCAGCCCACGCCACAACGGGCAACATTGGATGGAAGATGGGTTTGGTGGCCGCTGCGCTGGCGCCTACCCTCTTCACTGTTGAGCGCGGTGCCAGAGAGGTGGCACACGTGAGCCTCACTGCAGTTGCCACTGCGGCGGAGGACCTCATCGAGGAATCCTCTGGTATCCTCGTTCGGGGTGTCCGCGTGGTTGGCTTGACGGCCGTCGTCCTACTGTGGACGTTCGCGGCCGTAGTGCTGTGGTGGGCCGGACGTGTCGCCACTAACCGGCTAATGCACGCCATGAACGGTAACCCCTTTGGGAATGCTGTTCTGGTGTCGCTCGAAGGCCGGGAGGCTGTCTTTGAGGTTGCATCAAAGACTAAGGCCGGAGCACACAGGGTTCTTGTGAAGGTCGGGTCGGGCGCGGACGGCGCAGGCTGCGACTGCAAGGCATTCCTCAACGAGGGACGTTGTGGTCACATAGAACGCGCTGTTGAAGCTGCGGGGCAACTCGTGGCCATGACAGGCGCGAGCGCTGCCCCAACGCTGTCCGTCGCCCCGGCCGCGACTAGACGCGCCCGTGCGATCCTCGGCGCGCCGGCCCTGGAACAGGGGTGCCTTGCCGGCATGGTGTCGAAAGCGAGATCGCTCTCTGAAAGAGCTCGGAATGTCGGGAACCCGTCCGAGGGTTGCCTTGACGGCTTTACCAAGCTCAGAGGCCGCCACGAGGTGGCCACAGTGTCGGCGCCTCCGACAGAGACTGTTCCGAAGACGCCTGCAGCGGAGGCTTCCCGCCAGGGTACCTCTGCGGCGTCTCCGGCTCCGACAGCTCCCATGTCGAGCCAGGCACGGCGTGTCAGAGACTTCCCGATCCCTGACGGCTTCGAGCGAGCCGGGGTCAAGTTTCTGACCCTTCCGGAGTATCACGCTGTGGTACAAACGATGCTATCGGACGCTGGGCATGGGGACCACGTTTACGTGCGAGCCTACAGCTTCGATAGCAAGCCTTTGGTTGGAGCCCTCGTGTCCTCGCTGGAGCGAGGCGCCCGAGCCCACGTGCTTGCCGACAACTCGCAGACGAGCCGGACCAAGCTCCAGCTGCAGTCCCTCAAGGAGCTAGGGGCGGCTGGCGTCCAGGTCCGTGTCGGCAAGGGCACCTCGGTCAAGGCGGCTTACGCCGCCGAGAACCGCACGGACGTGAGCATCGGCGCAGGCCTCGCGGGCATCCACCACGCCAAGACGGTGCTCGTGACGAGGCCGGACTCCACAGTTAGCGCCGTGATAGGAAGCCTAAACTTTAGTGCTAGTTCACGGGCCAACGCGGAGGTCGGCATCGCGGTCGCCAGTGTGCTGACCTCTGAATTTAGCCAAAAGTGGCTAGATTCGTTTGGCACCGAGTGGTCCAAGGCGCTGAAGCTCGAGGAGTTCGAAGCACCTCAGCGGAACCACCGCGGGCGGGCAAAACCCTCAAATGTCCAGCAGCCCGCCGCGCAACCCAACGTGGAGCCGCAGTGACCGTGGACTAGAAGTCGCGGACTGCGCTCCGCCCTTCTAGCCACCTGTGGCAACTTCAGTTTTGGTCGCAGCACCTAGCTGCTTTCCGATGAGACGACAGGGTGGCGTATCCGCTCTACAGGTCTTTGACGGGAGCGGCTAGGGAGGCACGGTAGTGCTCCCGAAGCGCGTGGAGTAACGCCGCAGCTTCAGCTGCTCGTTTCACCAGCCCTGTGGCCGCAGTGCGGCGCAGGCTGTGTACAGTAGGAAACCAGAGCCTCGTGCAGCACAGGCCGTGAAAAACGAAGGTCTTGTGCTGAGTGCGAAGGGTTTGTAGGAGGGCAGGGTCTGTAGGTCAGTTTTACGGCCTCCGGCCGCCCGCGGAATCCTACGGCTCTATCGTGCTCTCGGCTGAGGGGCGAATGTAACTGTACATAGTCTGCGGGCTGGCTGTTGTGCTGTATGCTTTTATGCATGCTCTTCTGTAATTCGTATTCATAACATTTTTGGCTCAAGTGAGCACGGCAGTGTGTCGTTGGTAGCTTCTCGTTGCCGCGACGCAATTGCGCGCAGCCCGTCCTGGGCGGACGTTCGACCTGTCACGGTCGTTGGACTTTCTGCTTGGACGGAAAACGAGGGTGCGTGCTGCCCCTTTGGGTTTCCGTTCTCCACACATTTCAGTGCGAAAAGTCGCATGAGATGCAGATCACAGATCGAATGACAAGATGCGTACTCATTTTCTTCCGCGAGCAGGCGGTGTAGTCTGCATGCGAGTCGACAATAGAGACGATACCTCGCATTTTTTCAATGTGCTTGAGGAACTATCACGGTGAGATAGGCATGACCAATACCTGGTTTCATGGCATCAAAATCCTCCTCAATTGCCCGTGTGAAAATACTCAACTCATGTTTTACGAGGACCTTACTATACTGACTGTGTGTAAGGGAGCAACTGGGGAAGTGCCATGGTGGGATTTGATAGAGAAGCCTTCCGATCATTCAATGCCGAACTCGCCGTTCAACAGAGGCGATGGTGTAAGCGACTCAGACATTGTAATCTTGGTCTGCAAGCTCTTCGAGTTGCTGAGTGAGACCAGCCATGGGATCGACGACCTCTTCCTCCTTGTCCTCCTCATCAATGTCCATGGGCTCTCCTGGCGATGTCGCGAGATGGGCCGAAGAGGATGCCGCGCAAGCCCGGGGAGACGTCGTCGATGTGTCCGACTTGAGAGATTTCGCGTTGATGTCAGGAGATGCCGTGAGCATTGGCGATGGTGCTGTCGGAGATGCCTTGGGAGATGCCGCAGTAGCCTTCGAAGATGCCTTGGGAGATGCCGTACGTGACTCGTTCGAAATGCTGATGCAGAGGGAGCGGTTGCCTAGTTTCTTGTGGAATATGCGAAACTTCTCTTTCACTTCGCCCGGCTCCTTCTTCACCGGAACCTTAGAATGGAAAACTAGAAGTTGCGGTCTTTTGGGTCTATGGCAAGTCGTGTGTGAGAGGTATCCTGCGGCATGAAGTTTCTACGATGTCGAAGTTCATACTCTTACAGTAGGACAAAAGATCAGAAAAGAAATGCCCACAAAAGCCAAGAAGCACCTACGAATGATGAACTTGCCGCGCCTTCAGGCTTCACTTCTGTGTCCTCTTTTGTTTTTGTTGTTGCATTGTCGTGTCCGGACGACGAAGGATTAGTCAGTAGAGCTTCGGTGGACTTAACGGACTTGAAGCGCTTGGGGACGTTCTCAGGGACGGTCTCATTGCTTTGATCAGGAAAGTAAGTGGTGGTGGCGTCAATCCCTGCAAGCCGAGGACGGGTCTCTCGAACGAACTTCTTACCATCGAAGTTTTTGCCCAACACTGTGCTGCAGCGAGGGATGTTCTCATCATCAAGGGCTGCTTGAAGGAGATTGAGGGACCATTGCAAATGCTTGCCATGCTCAGCAGGAGCTGCAGACAGTTGACCACGCTTGTACGCTGCCAACTTGGCACGGGCACAATGGGAAACCATACCGAAGTCAGTGCTTGGCCATGCACGGCGAGGGATTGGTGATGTCGAGGTACCGGGAAGCCGAAGGTAGATTCCCTGATCCGTGAAAACCACGACGACCGAACGCTTGAACACAGCGATGAGGTCCTCATAGTCGAAGTCCTTGTGGAATGAAGGCCGCACTAACTTGAAGAAGGTATCGAAATCAATGCGGTCGCAGGATGAACCCTCGCCCATTACCGGCTCCACCGCGCGATCATACGGGTTGGAGCATACCTGGCAAAGTTGATTCTTCTCGTAAGAAGACGCAGTGTATCGGGCCATGGTTTTCCTGTCGATGCCTGAAACCTCAGTCACTGCCTTGACGGAGGCGGGGTGCTCCAAGTTCAGGTTGCCATCGTCAAAGACACGTGGCTTGGTTTTGCGACCTTTCTCCTTACGGAAGTAGTCCAAGTGGTTGGAGGTCTGGAATGATGGCACAGCATCCGCTCGATCTTCCTGAATCAACCAAAATGAGGACATGAGGTGGGACAACGTGTAGGCAATGGGGCTCTTACCCACTTCGGACTTGCCAATCCAAATGACGGCGTGCTCCAGGAGGTGGGGCAAGACTGGGGCAATAACCGTGTTCAACGCCCACGGGGTGAAGTCCACTAGTGTCAAAGGCCAGTCACGTATGGTGTTGGCTGTGGAGCCTTGGTCGGCCAAGGAGCGGAGGAACTCCTTCACCGTGCCCTTGTCCCATTTAAACAAAGGTCCAGATGGATCGTTCACCTGCTCCTCAGTCCAAGAGGTGAAGTGGCCGTTGGAATTATCCTCGGGTCCGTGGTCGCGAATAAATTGGAAGCCTTTCCTAATGTCCTCAGTCTCCTTTGGTAGCTGTTTGGCTGCAGCTCCAGACACGATCTTGGCATAGCGCACCTGGAAGCCCCCTAAACCTTCCAACATGTACTGAAGTGCCCGGCTGCCCTCTCGGAACTGTTTCTGGTAGTCTATCTCCACGGGTCGACCAACACTCATTCCCACAATGGTGGAATGCCACACCCTGGCACCATCAGCGAACCGAATGTGCTTCACGACATCCCACTTGCGATCGCCTTTCGGGAGAATGACGAGCTGCATGGTGTAGGGCGTTATGTTATCCCCCTTCACTCGGATAGGATCCGGAAGATCCTGATATCGCTGCTGCATGAACAGCATCTCCACCTGTTTTAAGTCGATGTCGCCTTCGTAACCCAGAATCACATCCAGGAACTGAGTCTTCCGTTTCGAGCAGTCCACAATCTCGTCCTTAGCTGGAAGGCACCCGATGGTGATGTGGCCCGGTGGTTTGTTGACCACCATGGGTTTGTCCAATATGACGATCTTCATGCCATCCGTTTTGGTGACGGCCTCATCCCACGTCACAGCACCATCCAAGTTGCGGTCGTCAATGGATTGGGCCAAGGACACGGGTCGGGCTGGAGGAGCGGAGGCCATGATGCAAAGGAAACAGCAGAGGATGGAAGTGGCGAAAGTTAATGTTGAGAATAACAGCTACTGGAAACATGTTTGGGTTGCTCCTGATACAAAGACAAAGCATGCTCATGTGGACTTATAATCCTTCTTGTAAGTAGATAGACCATGGGCATATGGGGATTTTAGTACAATATGCTGACAACCTTACTGCTGATGGACAAAATCATGCATTACCCATAATAAGGAGAATACCATAGTTTGGATAGTTTAGCTTCATCAAGGTCATGCAGGATTTTGTCCATCAGCTGTGTTATATCTACTTGAAGGGCACTATAAGCGCACAGCAGCGAACTATGTGCACAGCATCCATATTTTCGGCAGACTTCGACGGTGGCTGTCGGTGTGCTTGTGCAGGTTCCATCAGGAAGGCACGCCTGAGTACCGAGCCCGCTTACAAATTTTAAGAGTTATGCCTATTTGTGCTCCAGTGCGCCATCCCTCAGGGATAGCACAGGTGAGACAGATTATTCTCTCTGCGCCGAGCCCGCTTACAAATTCTAAGAGTTATTCCTATTTGGGCTCCAGTGTGCCATCCCTCAGGGATAGCACAGGTGAGACAGATTGTTCTGACTGAGAGCACCACGCAATCTCTTAACCTCCATATACAACTCTGCATTGCGTTCTTCCTCATCCTGTGCTCTGCCGAGGGCCCCTTCAAGATCATCAATACGTGCACGAAGGTACTGGACGAGCTTTCTACTGGATGCCTTGCGGGCTTTCCTAGGAGGGGACACCGAGCGTGATGGCGAAGATGATGTTGCCAGGGATGCAGAGGGCTTCTGCGAAGCCTCATTATCATCCTGCAGTGCCTTACGTGATGAGCTAGATGTTCCACAACGGGGGCGCTGTAACCATGAGTGAAGCCTCTGCTGAGCTTGCTCTGACCAATCACCATTGCTGCCCGTTCGCAGAGCCAGGGTTGACTGTATATTTGCTAGCTGCGTCTGCAAAGATCTCAGTGTAACATCCTTCTTCGTAGCATGCACCTCTATGGCGCCACTGTGGATCTGACTCAAAAGCAATCGTGCGCATGGACGTTTTTGAGAAGATGTCACCACATGATTCGACTCATCTGCATGACTGGCAGTTGTGGATGCCACTCCCAGCTCCAGCACAACGGTTCCTTTTCGCCCAGCTCTTACATGACCAGCGACAGGCAACATGTCTACCGGATAACTACTTCTGCCGCTTAAAGAGCTACATGTGACCAAGTTATAGTGTGCTTACTTGGCAACAAATGCATGATTAGTTACATGTGATAGAACCCTCTAATGTTTACGGAATGGATGTGACGGAGCTCCGATGCAAGCGGCAGCGGCTTCATACTAGTCGGACTACTTATGGTCTTAGGATGGTTAGGGTAGCTTGCTAAGAAAACAGACCCTTCGAGAGGCAGCGATGTCGCCCGAGTGCGGGACCTGCAGCAGACAGGTTTGTCTTTGCAGGGGTATCTGCTGTTGGAAAGCTAGGTGTCTACTATGTATTAAATACAGGTTCCAAGTATGTCATATGTGCAGGCCCGTGCAAATGCCTACAACAAAAATGTTCTAGAACACGGCCTCCGTTCTAGAACGGCGGGGCGCTGTTCTAGAACCAAGGCTGTTGTAGGCATTTGCCTCAATCTTTTTGTGATTTTGAAACCAAAACGCCGGGAGGCCCCAAAAGACTCAAAAGACTCAATCTTTTGGAGGTCTTGGGAAACGAGCCTTAAAATCAAAAAGATTGAGGTGAGGCCTCTCAGCACTTTAAGACTTTGATATATTCCAAACCTCGAGAGACCCTAATCTTTTTGAGTTTCAAGACTCCAAAAAATTGAGGCATCTCAGCACTTCGGAACTGTGGGAGCTGCAAAACCTGGAGAGGCCCCAATCTTCTTGAGATTCAAGACTCCAAAAGATTGGGGCCTCTCAGCACTTTGGAACTGTGAGAGCTGCAAAACCTGGAGAGGCCCCAATCTTTTTGAGATTCAAGACTCAAAAAGATTGAGGCCTCTCAATGTTTTGGAATTTGGAAGCTGCAAAACACTGAGAGGCCTCAATTTTTCTGAGGTTCGGGATTCCAAAAGATTGAGGCCTCTCAGTGTTTTGGAATCTGGAAGCTGCAAAACACTGAGAGGCCTCAATTTTTCTGAGGTTCGGGATTCCAAAAGATTGAGGCCTCTCAGTGTTTTGGAATCTGGAAGCTGCAAAACACTGAGAGGCCCCAATCTTTTTATGATTTTGAAGCCAAAACGCTGGGAGGCCCCAAAAGACTCAAAAGACTCAATCTTTTGGAGGTCTTAGGAAACTAGCCTTAAAATCAATAAGATTGAGGCCTCTCAGTGTTTTGGAATCTGGAAGCTGCAAAACACTGAGAGGCCTCAATTTTTCTGATTTTGGATATAGTTTCCCAAGACCTCCAAAAGATTGAGTCTTTTGAGTTTTTTGGGGCCTCCCAGCGTTTTGGCTTCAAAATCATAAAAAGATTGAGGCCTCTCAGTGTTTTGGAATCTGGAAGCTGCAGAACACTGAGAGGCCTCAATTTTTCTGAGGTTCGGGATTCCAAAAGATTGAGGCCTCTCAGTGTTTTGGAATCTGGAAGCTGCAAAACACTGAGAGGCCCCAATCTTTTTATGATTTTGAAGCCAAAACGCTGGGAGGCCCCAAAAGACTCAAAAGACTCAATCTTTTGGAGGTCTTAGGAAACTAGCTTTAAAATCAATAAGATTGAGGCCTCTCAGTGTTTTGGAATCTGGAAGCTGCAAAACATTGAGAGGCCTCAAATTTTCTGAGGTTCGGGATTCCAAAAGATTGAGGCCTCTCAATGTTTTGGAATTTGGAAGCTGCAAAACACTGAGAGGCTTCAATTTTTCTGAGGTTCGGGATTCCAAAAGATTGAGGCCTCTCAATGTTTTGGAATTTGGAAGCTGCAAAACACTGAGAGGCCTCAATTTTTCTGAGGTTCGGGATTCCAAAAGATTGAGGCCTCTCAATGTTTTGGAATCTGGAAGCTGCAAAACACTGAGAGGCCTCAATTTTTCTGAGGCTCGGGATTCCAAAAGATTGAGGCCTCTCAGTGTTTTGGAATCTGGAAGCTGCAAAACACTGAGAGGCCTCAATTTTTCTGATTTTGGTTATAGTTTCCCAAGACCTCCAAAAAATTGAGTCTTTTGAGTCTTTTGGGGCCTCCCAGCGTTTTGGTTCAAAATCATAAAAAGATTGAGGCCTCTCAGTGTTTTGGAATCTGGAAACTGCAAAACACTGAGAGGCCTCAATTTTTCTGAAGTTCGGGATTCCAAAAGATTGAGGCCTCTCAGTGTTTTGGAATCTGGAAGCTGCAAAACACTGAAAGGCCTCAATTTTTCTGAGGTTCGGGATTCCAAAAGATTGAGGCCTCTCAATGTTTTGGAATCTGGAAGCTGCAAAACACTGAGAGGCCTCAATTTTTCTGAGGTTCGGGATTCCAAAAGATTGAGGCCTCTCAGTGTTTTGGAATCTGGAAGCTGCAAAACACTGAGAGGCCTCAATTTTTCTGAGGTTCGGGGTTCCAAAAGATTGAGGCCTCTCAATGTTTTGGAATCTGGAAGCTGCAAAACACTGAGAGGCCTCAATTTTTCTGAGGTTCGGGGTTCCAAAAGATTGAGGCCTCTCAATGTTTTGGAATCTGGAAGCTGCAAAACACTGAGAGGCCTCAATTTTTCTGATTTTGGTTATAGTTTCCCAAGACCTCCAGAAGATTGAGTCTTTTGAGTCTTTTGGGGCCTCCCAGCGTTTTGGCTTCAAAATCATAAAAAGATTGAGGCCTCTTTGGGTACACCCCGCCCCGACCCACCTTTGGCTCTCAAAAAGACCAAAAAGGGTAGGTCAATGGGGGGGGGGGTACCATATATATATATATACATGCATACATGCAATTTTTTCTCACGTCATGCATGATTTTCACGTCACGATTATAATCTCACGCCACGATCGACCATGCATTGCCTGGACCTATGACAATTTTCCGGTGCCGGAACATCTCCATGAAAACAAAACTATGCCCGATTTTCTACACAGTCTGCACAATACCGGAAATGTATCAGGTCGTGCTCATATTTTCTTTTCGTGGAGGCATGTCCATGAGAACGAAACTACACCCGATTTTCAACAACAGTGTCTGGATCAGTTGCAGTGCATCACGTCGTCACTATCGCTGTGTTGCCATTACGACCAACCTTCCTTAAATCCAAAAAACTTCCTTAAATAGGATCCACGAAAACCTTTTCTATTTACGGCTCCTTTTCTTTATTTAAAGCTTGCTGCCTTAAAATTTAAGGCTTTTAGTCGTTATTTACTAGCTATAGTCATTAATTTAAAGCTTAATGCCTTAAGTTCAGCTTCTTTCCTAGGTGCCGGCCCGCGGTTTAAGGCATGTTATCTTGTTTAGGGTGCTTTGGGTTTACTGGGGAGGTACGGCAGGCTGGGCTCGGGCGCGATGGTGC